AAAACTATTTTCAATATATAATAATTGATTAAAGTAACAAAATTTGATGTCTAAAGTCAAATAACGATTTCTCTATAATACATCAACCATATATACTGTCATTTATGTATGACATGCTTATGGTATTTAAATAAAAAAAATAGTAACCTGCTGAACGACTTCAAAAAAATTGTGTACGAATTGTTGATGAACTTTTATTATTATTTCTTTAAGATGTATTCACTGTTGGAGTATAATTATTTGCTTATAAAGAATCATGTCGTTTTATAATTGTATAAAACATGGCTATAATAATTAAAATATTAAATATAATAATTAATATTGATGATATAATACTATGAAAATATAAATCAACAAATGATAATAATTTTCGATGATCAACTATTTCACAAACAAGATGTTCTGGATGATAATCTCCATCTGTTAATATATTAGTATCAAACAAATCAACTGGAAAAAAGCAATCTACTGCAGAACTGGAAAAAATAGAAAGAATATTATTGGTATTGAATATGCAACATGCATACAACATAAACGTATAGATTGAAACGGATATCGAAAAACTACAGAACGTTCGAATGTGACAGCAACAATAAGCCAAGCTGATATATAAGTAACTAAATGTTGTATATAAAAAGTTAAATGAGATAGAAATTATGAATAGGAGGGTGGGTGTGGGTGTACGGTGTGGATGCGTGAATGAAGAAAAAGAGAAGATATACACTCACACCCACCCTCCAAGATTATTACAGTCTATAATATATAATATTATATAAATACGAGATACACATAGCATGTGTAACAAGGAGAGACTTTATAAATTTCTTGGAAACTACCTTCCATTTTATAATTTTAGTTTTACGTTTCTACCCTCATCTATCTTTGTATGTGGACGACTATATAAATCATCTTGTCTACTAATTTCTGAAGTTTCCCTAGAATTTCAAAATTTTCTTTTTATTTTGTACGGTCCATGTGTAGTTATATATGTATGATAGTATACATCATCTTTTCTACTTATATCGAAAATTTCTTTAAAATTTGCAAATTATTTTTATATTATCAATGCTTTATCTATCTTTTCCTATATATATATATATATATGATTGTATACAATAAATTCTCTATCAATATTTGTCATTTCTTGAAAATATTCTTGAAATTTCGAAAATTTTGTTTTATTTTTTACCCTTCATATCTCTTTATACATATATCATATCGTACATTATCCTCTCTAGTAATATGTGGGATTTCTTGAAAATTTCCTTAAAACTTCATTATTTTCTATTCATTTTCCACACATCATCTATGTTTACATATATAGATCAGATTTTATTATGTTCTTTAGTAATATAAAAAATTTCGTTGCAATTTCAATATTTTCTTTTTGTTTTCTACTCTTCATCTGTCTATCTTCACATATTTATAGAACTATAGAATACGTTCTCAAATAATATGGAAAATTTTATTCCAATTTCAATATCTTATTTTTATTTTTTAGCCCTCCTCTCTACCATAGTATATATAAGACGTTGCAGATTACCTTCCCCATTAATTTGTAAAATTTGGCTGAAAGTTTTAAACTTCTTTTTAACT